AAATAGTTTCATTAAAATGTATTCATGCTTGAAAATAAGGGAGCTATCAAATGGTTTCCTTTCTGTTCCACTTCAGGGAAAATGCACCGTTTGTAAATCAAAAATCCATCATCCAAAATCACTTGTTCCTAATGGTGCTTTTGGAAAAGATAGGGGACGTGGCCACACGCATGGCAATTTGGGGGATAAGGGTGGCCTGGCAGCCAGAGCTGCGGGACAGGGTGAGGCTGCAGCCTGGCTTCCTTCAGCCAGGAAGGGGGGCCATGTCACCCCCAAGTTCATCCCTTCCCTGCTGTTCTGCATGCTTCCCTCCCTGCACCATGCTCACAACCACCCAAAGCCTAGGGGTGCAATTCCCGCATGCTCTCTACCTGAGACCAACTCCAGTTTAGAATTCCTTGTGATTCCCTCAGTATAGAAAAACAGCTACACTCTCTCCTGGTGCACTTGGGGGTCTAAAATGCAGATGAAGACTATCTAGGCTTACCAGCAGTGGTTACCCTGACCCCCCAACTCAGAGACTAAACGGGACCCCCTGGGAACACGAGGACTGAAAGTCTAGAAGGGCAGAGATGTGCCATTGAGGTCTCCTTTGATTTGGGGAGGGGGCAAGGGGCATGGTGATGAGGGGTGCAGGAATAGGCCCCCAGGGCTGAGAAATTACAGTGAATGAAAGAACACCTGCCTGCTCCAGTCAGCAGCCCAGCTCTTCCACGGGGGACTGGCCGCCAGCGTTCTGCTGCAGCCCCTGAGACCTGGCTGCCACTGGGGAGGTGCAGCCACGAGCTCACAGTGGGGAAGTGTGGCTCGACACCGTGGCTCCACCATGAATATGCAAGAGGGAATCCTGAGGAACAGGATGGCAGAGGACAAGAGGTTGAAGGGGCTGCCGGAGGTGGGGCAGACTGCAGGCTGGGAGTCATGGCCTGACTGTCCAACTTTCCAATAATGGATTTTGTTACCTTTCAAGAAATGCACTTGCCTCGGACTTCTCTGGGGCCAAAAGAACTAAAACAATCAGTTCATCGGGAACACTGGTGTGCGTGCCTGGAAACCATCAGAGGCTCCTCCCGGGGGCTCTGGGAGCTGGTGCAGCCCAGGGCCTGTAGGATCTGCTCACCCCAGGGTGGGTCTGGTGTGAGCGCCTGGATTTTTCTCTATCATCCAGGGCAGCTAAGTCTCGGGCTTTTCTGTGTTCAGGTACCTGTCAGTAGTGCTTGGTTTGTCTTTAAGATTTGCTCCCCATGACTTGGAGCTAAATTCTAGCTGAAATGTCATCCAGAAGCCAGTAGCTAGAGTTAGGAGCTGCCAAAGACAGGGCATCACTCTGGGGTATGACTTCTCATAAAGGGATTTCACCCCTCAATGCCCTTTGGCCACATCTGGGAAGCTGTCCTATACAACAAAAGACTCTGGCAGCACTCAACCTCCCCTCAAAGTCAAGAGACACTTGCACACCCCCTCCCCACCCCAACCTCAGATGTTCTATCCCACCCACCTGCAGAGCCCAAATATTTGCAAGAGCCTAGCATGACGGAGGGGAACAGAGTCTTGGGGTACCTGTTTCTGTTACTGACTTGCAAGACAACCTGACATTCAGACCTCTCATCTCTCTGGGCTTCCATGCTCTCAGACCTGTAAAGGAGGCCAAGGAGTCGAGGTCACAGGTAGTGGTCATTAGGTCCAATTTGGCCCTCAGACATACTGTTTTAACAGACAGAGCATTAAAAAAAACTCTTACCCATTGTCATGGGCTTGAAGGGGTCACTCTGTGTGTCTGGGGTTCCACCACCATGCTGCCTCCTACTCTACCAGCCTGGTCTGGAAGCACTTAGCTCAGGGTCCTAGACACTTATCTGTGTTTCTCAGGCCGGGACCTGGCCACCATAGCTTGGTGTGGGGACATCATGATACTGGAGCCCACGGCCCTGGGAGGCAGAGGTGGGCCCTCATCCAGGCTATGAGGATTGCAGGGTGGCCTTGGACAAGCTCTCCCTCCCCCATGCCTTGGGACATGTCAGGAAAGATACCTGAATGAAACCTCAGAAGAGCTGGTGTGAATCTGGCAAAAACATCACCAGGTTTCAGGGTTAATGGGAATCAAATTGGATTGGCAAAGCTACCAACCCCACGGTCCCTTTGCCAGGCCAGCCTCTGGCTCCCTGGTTTTTCTTTCTTTGTGGACCTGGAAGGTTTCTAGGGGCTTGATGGGCATCTCTAAGCCATATGGTCCCATGACAAGAGTACAATTCTATGGTGAGAGAATGGGTCCTAGATATCTGAGGATTCACTTTAACCTCTTCTGCCACCTGAAACCCAAATCTCAATTTTCCCATCTGTGAAATGGGCCATGTGATCTTTGCCTCGTGGGATGGTCAAGAAATGCAAAGCACCATACAAATGTCACTTATGAAAGGAGTAGCCCTAAGGTGCCTTGGGAAAGGGGTGTTGGATTTGACATGTCAACACATCTTTCTAGGTTGAAACTAGACTCATGGTATGAACATTTTTCATAAAATTCACAATGTCCTTTTCAAAAAGTCAGATCTAGAACATGGGGCTGAAAACTGCAGAGGACATCCCAGGCCTCCCGCCACTATGCTGGCGAAAGTCCTGGCCTTGCGATTTCCATTCAGAATTCTCTGGCATCTCCTCAACAGTGTGTGTCCCTTGGATCTCTCCTCCCCAAGCTCCCAGGCAGCTCTGCAGGGCAGAGCAGGACCTGAGAGTTGGAGAGTGGGTAAATGTGCGAGAACATATATGTGCATTCATGTGCTCTTGTGCTTGTGCCTGGCAACCCAGGAATCAGTGGGTCATCTAATGAATCCAAATCTGAAGACTGGCAGAGCTTCAGGGGAGAAAAAAAGGTCATGGAGGGCGCTCATCCCAGGACAAGAAGAGGAACAGGATGGCTCAAGGGTACAAAGTGGGACCAGGAAACCTGGCTTCCCAGCAGATCACAAGGAGGGACCAGGATTCAAAAACATGGGTACAAGAGACCATGAGCCCAGCACTTCCTGTGGAAGGGAGGGGGAGGGGTCGAGGAGCTAGGTAACATACCTTCTCCCACCTGGTCTGGTCTGGCATGTGGAGGCTGGAACTGGGTCTTCCTGGCTCCAGGTGTTCTCTTGCCCTGATACCTCCTTCTCTGTGCAGCAGGTACGGGGCAGGTGAGCCGCTATGAGCTTACTGCCTGGGGGGGGGGGGGGGCACTTCTCCAGCCTTGGTGAATGGGTTCCTTTGGCAGTAGTAACAGCCTCAGGCAGGGGGCGGAGAGCCATCTCCTGCTTCCTCCCCTCCAACCACCACCCAGGGATGAGCAGATCACCAAGTGCTAGGGGTGAGGAAGCCCAGCTTCACCTCTGCCTCAGTTCCCCCCCCCCCCTTTCAGAGGTGTCAGGTAACAAATGCTTGGTGGTGGCAAGAGGGAGGGTCTGTGCTCTCTGGATAGTCCTGGGCTTCCTCACACTGGATCTCAGTTTCCACTGAGGGGAACTGGATTTGCTCTTTTTCAAGGCTGATTCCCACCCCTTTGGGCATCTTGTTTCCCATTTGGTTCAAATATTAGCAGGACTCAGGTATCCCTGCTTGTATACTTGCTCAAATGACCCTGTCATAACCCAGCTCCCTGGGAGAGAGGAAGGGAAGGAGAGAGCTGTCTGTGACTCCCGCCAAGGCTCAGAAAGGTGAAGGTTCTTGTCCTAGATGCCATAGCAAGGCAGAGCTGTGGCCAGGACAAGACTTCCCAGGTCTGATAACCTCGGGGGCGGGGGGTTGGGGTGCGGGCTCTCTCAGCTCCAGCTCTCTGCTAACCTGGTGATGACAGACATAGGGGACAGTTACATGAGATGGCATAGTCCATTGTCACCGCTGCAGGTCAGGTTTGGAGGGAGTCCCCACCTGGCCGTCTTGACCTGGCAAGAGGTCATGCCAGGAATTGGGGCTCCGGGTGGAGAGATGGTGGCCCTCAGTACTCCACCTAACACCACTCCAGGTTCACATACCAGCTTCTCACTGCCTGTCTGTTCTCCTCTCTGGGAGGCCTTCCTCCGTTCCCAAATCTTCCCAGGTGATTTCTCCTGGCCACTCTACCTCATGTGGAGTGCTCCCAGCTCCCTAACCACACTCTTGGGGTCCCTGGCCTTGGCCCTGGCCGTATCACCCCTGTATCAACAGGTGGGTGCCTACAGTGGGAGTCAGGCCCACCTCACTTCCCTTCCCAGCCTCGCGCTAGGCTCCGTGAGGAAAAGGGTGCTCAGGAAGTTCCAGCTGATGGTTGGAGGTGTTTGTGGTCTTCAATGCAGGGAAAGTCCTCTTTGTTAATCATTGTCTGCATGACAGAATTGGCTCCTAGGGTCCTGAAGTTTGGGAAAGTGTCCATGTGGGTATCCAGAGTCATCTGAACCTGGGCACATGTCAGTGAAACACATCCCCATTCAGTTCAGTGGTTCCAAGGCTGAGGGGTCAGGAGAGCCTCAGGTCCGGCCTTGGACCATGGTCTCCTGGATCCCATCCAGCCCTAATGTTCAAAGTCCACGATGCAATCAACACCTGGGACCACATCTTACTTTAGAACAGTAGCTGAGGAATCTCCCAGAAGGTTCTCTTTGAATCCTTTGATACAGAGAAGAGCTGCTTGCACTGCATTGAACCCAGGAAAATAGAGGTGGGAAGCCAGGGTATCGCCCCAAATTGTGTTTCTCCTGGGAATGGGAAGGGACTGGTTGGGTCGCAGGGGTCGGGTGGGGGGAGGTTGAAGTCTACCCAGCCCTGTGATACCCCTACTCAAAATGTTAAAGAAGTAATATTGAGCAGGAGGCTGGGGCATTCTGCCTCAAGGACAGCTTCATGCCCACCTGTAGGGGTACCAGGGCAGATAGGACACTCTGCACACGGGTCTAAGACGTCCTGGGAAGCATTGGGAGTGCAGGATGCATAATGCGTGGGCAGTCTGCTTCATGGGACCCAGGGGCCCACAAAAAAGCAAGAAGGTATTTATTTACATAGGTGCTGTTGAAGCAACAAAAGCAAGCTGTCTTTCCCAGGCCTGGGGCGGGCAAGACAGGCAGGCAGTCTGATAGCTGGGGGCTGGTGGGCAGGGAGGGGCTGCAGTTGACTGCAGAGCAGTCGGTTGGTTTGCAGAGACCCAGCTGCCATTGGGAGAAGCTCCGCGATTGACTCTTAGAAACAGACACGTGTGTGGAAGTCCAATAGCCCTACCCTAGAACCCCAGAGTCCCTGGCAGGAAAGGGGGGGCAGGAGTTTCAGTGATTTGGGGTGGCTGGGGGATGGTCTCGTCGGGCCCCTCTTGCTGTCGTCAGAGGGGCTGGGAGGCTATCGCCCTCAGTGATATGTGCTTTAAGTGCTTGGCGCCCGCCTGGCTCCGAGGGTCAGTGGCGGTCATAGGCAGTGGCCGCCGCAGGCGGGGCGGCTCCTCGTGCGGCAGCGCTGTAATAGTACGGGGAGCCTGGAAGAGACACAGAGGGCATGGAGGTCGGAGGGCGACCTTGTGGCCCCAGTCCTGCACCTGGGCCCCCTTTCCACCAGTGTCCCCCCACCATGGTCCCATCCTCCCCTCACCCAGTCCAGGCCCCCCTCCTCTCTCACCAAGGTCCCTGTTTCCAAAACTGCAAGCCAGCTCAGGGGTGCAACCTGCTTCTAAGACTTCCCTAGTGCTGGGTGGGCAGATTGAATCCTCCCAGCTGCCCAGTAGGTTGGGGTCAATGATGTTCTACCAGCCATGATCCCGATGCCACTACAGTAGAGTTGAGTCATTGCAACAGAGACCGTGCAGCTGGCAAAGCCTCACATATTTGCTGTTGGGTCATTTGCAGAAAAATCTGTCAATCTAGGACCTAGACAATGAAAGTCCTCACTTGGTGACCTGGCCCTACGGAAGTGCCTGGATTTACCTTCCACAGCCAGTGCCCTCCTGACCCCACAGGCACCGGCCAGCATCAGACTCTTGACAGCCGCCTCAGGTAACACTAACAGCAGCTAGCACAGCTGAGCTAGCACTTCCTCTGTCCCCACGGCTGCGTCCTTCACGTGGTGTCTCATTGAAAGCGGCATGCGGGGTAGGGAGAGGCAGTCCATCTTATCACCCTCCTGTGCCTTTTTTCACACACTTGGCTTCTTGTCTGGAATCCCTCACTGCCGCTGGTCCCTTTCCTGTTGCCTCTTCCGATCTCAGCACCTGCTCTCCCTTCCTGGAAGCCCCTGCCTCCTGAGGGCTGGACCACATGCTGCCTATCCCTTGGTTCCGTGCTTTCTCCTTCTCCCCTGGACGGACAACCCACTCAGACAGGGGCTGATTCTGCTCATCTTGGTGTCCGTCTCCTGTCAACACTCTAAGGACAAGTGGCATGTGCTCAACTAAGTAAATGAGCAACGGCCCTGAGTGAGGGAACAAACAGTAGTAAAGATCCTGTCTAGTGATTCATGACTCATTTTCTGAGCCTACTGGGTGCAGGGCTGGGCAATAATGCACAAACACCGCCCTTGACACAGGCCACATTCGGAGCCAGGGAAGGGAGCAGAGCGCTGAGAAAAGCGCTCTGGAGAAGGGAATATTATTCTGGCGGGTCATGCATTCCAGAGGAAGTGGGATGGCTAGGGCTTAGAGGACAAGAAGATTTGGACGTGGGGAGTGCAGCCCTGCTTCCTGGGACCTCAGGACAGAGCCATTGTGAAGTTGCCTTGCCCCTCCCCTCTTCCACCATTTGTCTCCAGGCGTTTTCCTTGGACTACATGCTCTGGGAGTGGCCCCTTGGAGTCCTGCTTTGTGCAAACTCTTCCCTAGGAATGAAGAGGCCTGAGGGTTCAGCAGGACCAGCAGATTCTCAGAACCATGAAGATAAGAAAGGCTAGGCCATCGCCTCTTTTTACCAGCCGGAAACTGAGGCTCAACAACCAAAGTTATATATCCAAAGCCATAGGGTTCTCATGCCAGGCCCTGGCCTGGAACGCAGGTCTTCTATTCCTGACTCAGGACTCTCCATCACAATGCAATCACATGGTCTGAACACGCAACCTTTGTGGGATGGATGAGGGGACAGGATTACTTAAATGGGCAGCAGCTGGGGTTCTGTCAGCCATAATAGACCACATGTCTGCTGATGTGGGAAGAGGAAGCTTCTTAATTCCCCAGGTGCAGGGGACTCATCGGTTCTGAAATCTCATCCAAATCCAAAGCAACCTTGGCAACTCCCCCAGATACCACAACTGGCCTCCAAGGTCTGGAAGTGACCAGTCAGGCTCTACTGCTTCCTGGCTAGTTGACCTAGGACAGGCGGCTTCACTGCCCTGTGCCTCAGTGTGTTTGTTTGTAAAATGTAGGCACAATGGCTCTTTGAGGACACAAAATCAGGATGGAACGTGCTTTGGACTTTGTATTCATTCACTTTTTTAATTGCTATAGTTCTACCCTCAGGAACTAATACTATTTAGCCCACAAGGAAACAGAGGCACACTGTAAGTCATTTGTCTGAGGTGACCAGCGAGAGTGGAATCAGGAGAGCAGGACAGCAGGTACTTTAGAAGGTCTCCCACCCCTCCAAACCCAGCCCTGTCTAGCAGATCCATTTCCCAACTCATCCCTGCCCCTGGGCCAGCAGTATGGCCCAGGCAGCGAGGACAGCCCTATTTTGTTGTTCTGTTCTAGAAGGTGTCGACACCAACCTCATGTCCATGGATTCCCAGAGATGGAGCTTTCTGCTGCCTCCTCTGTCACCACCCCAGCTGGAGTCCTGCCTCAGAGACACCTGTCAGCCTCACCTGCCCTCAGTTCTGTGGGCTGGGTCAGTGTTAGGACAGTTACCCACAGAGCATCATCAAGCCAAGCTTGCATCCTGCCTGCAGGTGGGCTCAGGAGAGAAGGGTGTGTATGTGTGTGTGTGTGTATGTGTGTGTGTGTATACCAGGCCTGCAGGCTTGGCATGGCACAAGAGCAGGAAAACTACGTGGGCTGCCCTCACAAACAGGTGTAAAGGGACAGGAAGCAGTAGCAAAGCCTCCTGGGCCTCCATAAGGCCCACACTGGCCACCCCTGGAGGCTGACTCTGACTCTTCTCTCAAAGCCTCATCTCTTGACCAGACTGTTCAGCGGCCTCCATGTAACAGCTCCATGGTGAACTCAGCATCACTTGCATTTACCAGGAGAAATGAAAAGCATCACCTCACACAGCACTCTGTCTTCCTGGTGCCCATTAGACTTCCATCTAGAATAAACTTGTCCTTTCTGCCATCATTTTTCCTCTCTAATTCACATTATCATCAATTTACTTCTTGACACAGTCATTCTGGGATCCCACTTGCTCTTTAGTCCCTTTACAGAGACCACGGTGCTTCCATTCTAATCCTAATTGACCAGACCACCTCTCTTCCATCAGCCCTGCCGCCCTGCCTGCCACCTCTGCCCCCCACCAGCCTGGGGTACCCTCACCAGTCTGGGGCCAGCTTTCAGGCAGCTCTAGTGAGAAGGCTCAGCACAGATAGTCTCCTGGGAAGCTGGGTGCAGCATGGGCAGTGGCATTTCTGTCACGAGGCTTCAACCAGGCCCAGGAATGGAAGACGGTGTGAGGGCGTGAACACATGTGACTGTGTGTGGAGGGTCTCACTCACTCCCCACCTCCTTCTCATCTTCCAGGAATGCCAAAGAGCCTCACTACAGATTTCCATACCTCTTGCACCATCCCCAGATGGCAGAAATAATCAGTGTAGCTCTCCCACCTAGAGGGGTTGTTTGGCTTAACGCCCAGAAGAAAGCGGAGGAAGGGCAGGCTGGGAGATGTGAATGGGCCAAGAACGACTTTGCAAGACTGTGGTAAGGTGAACTGGGCATCTCCTCTCAGGAAAAGTGGGATCACTGCTTATTTGGGGCTGAGGCTCTCAAGAGAGCATCCTTTTCAGCTCCTGCTCATTTAGATGGACACAGTTTTGATTCCTCTTCTACCTACCTCTTCTGGCTCCCCCTTCAATGCACTGAGCACCCCTCCTGCATAAACATACTTACCAAGGCTCCCTCACTCCAGCCCATGAGAATAGAGTTCACCTCTTTTCCAGGCCAGGCCCTCAGCCTGGAAACTGGCTTTCACTCCAGTGTAAGCAACAGAGGTTTCAGATGTTGTCCAGTCCCACTGTTTCCCACCCCCTGTCCTCTTGGGATCCTAGCTGCCCACACAACCAGGTCCAAACTTCTAGTCTGGCTGCCTCATCTTTGGGATGGCCCAAATATCTTCATGTTGTCCACAGATCAAACCAGCACTCACCATGGACAATCTGCCCATCTGAAATGTGGTTGGAGATATGGCCACAGATGAGCTCTGGGCACTATGCCTTATAAGGTGTCAGCCACAGGGCAACCATTTTCCAATGGCTCTGGCTCTGGAGATATCCATGCAGACATTACCAATCCTTATAAAGTCAGGTAGCCATGACCAATCAATCTGAATTGGACTCCATGCTGCCTCTTGTTTACAGATTTCTCACCGGAATACTTATTGATTCTTAAGAATTTTGTTACTCTTGAGTAGACACTTTCCCTATCTTCCTTTTCCTCCTTCAACAAACTACCCCTCCTTTTTTTCTCTGTTCTTCTCTTGTACCACTTTCCCTTATCCACCAAGCATGTTGGGGAGGGATGAAAGCACAGCAGGCCCCACCACAACTTGCATATTGCATGTGTCTGGACAAGCTACACACACCCCACCTCAGTGGCCGGACCTCGAGATAGTAAGGTAACATAGGGGTGCAATGGGGCAGGCAACAGCCCAGGGACCTCCATCAGTACTCACCGAGCAGCCCCGGGTTGGGGAACCTCCAGGAGTCGTTGTACGAGGGATACTGAGGGTGGCTGTATGGGCTCCCAGAAAACTCGCTCCCTGCATGTGGTAAGTGGGGAGAGAAACAAGAACCAAATATCAATCAGGTTTGAAAATGCCAGTGACATTTTCGTCTTACATAAACTGCCTGTACTTTTCATAACCAACAAAGGCAAGCCCAGGCCACAACCTTAGTAAGTGGATAGCTATCATTGGCATTGTCTATATTCGCCTCCCCCCCCCCAAAAAAAAAACAAAACAGTTTTCTTGTTAGAGGGAGTGACTACCGGCCTCTCACAAGTGTACTGTGAAATTACCATGTGCCTGGTGTTCCCTAAACATATTGGTCTATTTTACCAGCAAGGAGTACACTCATCGAAAGCCCCAGACTTGTTGGCTCTCAGCCCTGGCCATTCCAGGCCACTCCAGGACCCTGGTGTGGATTCAGTTCCACCTCCCACATGTTTTTGGAGCAAATCTGGATTGAGAAGCCACAGGTCTGGCCTGTGAGCGGTGAGTTCGGAAGTGGCTTCTCCCAGAGCCTCGGTCCTATGAGACAGTGAGACATAGCTCAGGCCCTTTCCTGGGATAGCAGCCTGCTGAATGGAAAGGACAAGCCAAAGGCATGGGGAGAACAGAAGAGGGAGCAGCTGGGGCCTTCTGGGCTCTGGGTGTGCTCAGGCAGGGCCTGCAGCTATGCCAAGTGGGGACAGCAGTGGGTGTGGGAGGGGGCATGATGTGCGTAAGGCTGGTTCGGCTGGCCCAGATGCTCATGGAGCAGTGACCCTTGCACTTGGAGCAGCCCTGTACTCCCACTCCCAGGCCCATCAGCTAGTCATAGGACGAGAGTTCAAAATTCCTGCCCACAAATCTTGCTGCCTGTTCTCTCTAGCAGGCAGGGCTCTGCCTGTGCCCTCCTTGTGGCTGGGGGACACCCAGAGGGCTCAAGTCTGACTCATCACTTGTACTCTGGTATCTGGCACAGGTTGTGCCGATAGTTGGCTATTGAGTGGCTTTTACAGTCACTGGCTACAAAGCACGTGGGCCTCTCACCAGTGACAGGAGTTACACAGCCCCACGAGACCACCCTCAGCCCACACGTTTCCATGGATTTGTCTCAAGGATGCTAAAGAGCCAAAGGGCAAGTGCCTCCAGAAGGACCAGGCAGAATCAGGACCAGAGCACTGCTCTTTTGCAGGGGGGCCTATACCCAAATGTTCCAGGTGCAGCTGGAACAATAACGCAGGCCCGGGGGCAGTTACTCCCACCCGCTGAGCTGGATGGGCCTCCTCCCTATTTCTCAGGCAACCACAGGCAGAACGTGTATGAGCGCGCGCGCACACACACACACACACACACACACACACACACACGTGCGCACTCCTCCCCGGGCCTCTCTGGGGGCCACTCCCAGCCTGACAGGCTGAGACTTCCAATTCTCTGTTTTTTATGCCTCAGTGGTCAGGGTGTCAGGTTCCGGCGTACTGAGGGAGAGCTTGGTGACAGTGCTGGGCCGCAGCCGCCCAGCCTCCACATATCCATCAGCGCCACAGTGCCTCCTCCTCCTCCTTGGGGGCAGGGTGGGGGTGCACAGAGACAGAGAGGCCTGAAGAAGGGGGCAGCTGCCCACCCTTCTGGCTCCAGGTGCCTGAGGAACTGTCCCATCAGAGGTACTTCCTGACAGTGCTGGGCCTGGGCCCAGAGCAGTGGGCTCCTCTGGAAAAGTCATCTCTGCATCTCCATCTACAACACCACACCTGACTAACAGGTCCAGCTTCAAGGCCACCTCTTCCAGGGAGTCTTCTTGGTCTCTCTCCAGTCCCAAAAGTTAAGGTCTCAGGTGCAAGGCACTGGAGTGAGACTGCCTGGACCCAGATTCTGAACCTACTTCTTCCAAGCTTTGTGATATTGGGCAAATCACTCAGTTTGTTTGTGTCTGTTTCCTTCTCAGTAAAGTTGGGGCAGTTAATGGGCCGTAGTGACTATAAGGTCACTGTAAAGTTGCAATGAACGACACACAGAAGACCTGGCATAAAGTGAACACCTAGAAGCTGATGGCCACAGTGGCAGCCTGTAAGCCTCCTTGGCACCCAACATCTGTTAACCCTCCTGATAACCCACAAAGGTGGGTACAACTGCCAGATGTTATGTGCGAGGAAATGAAGCCTTAGGGGGACTTGGTTGGCCATGAGGTGATTCCAGACTGGGCTCCTGGCTTCCACCCAGGGCCTTCTGCCAGGACATCAGCACCCTGGGCCTCTGTCTCCCATGTGTTAAAGGGCAGCACAGACTGAGTGGTGTCCAACGGCCCTCCTAGTCTGCTGAGCCTGAATTTTACTTCTCAGGGCCACTGTGTCCCTGGCAGGGAGGGAAGTCCCTCCTTAGGGCTCTGTGGGCTTACCTGGCTTTTTTTTTTTTAATATTTTATTTATTTATGCATACAGAAATGGGGTACAGGTCAGAGATGCAGGGGCAATGAGAGGATTCACCGGAAACAGTGGGAGCAGAACCGGCAAACCGATGAAGTACACTGCTGAGAGGAACAGCAGGCAGGACAGGAGAGGTCTGCACCATGTGGGTCACCTCTGGAGCCAGGGATCGAACTCACAGTGAAGCAGCCACAGCTTGGCTTAGCTTTGTGGTGCAGCACTCCAACCAGCTGTACCACCAGGGAGAGCTCCTACCTGGCTTTCTACTGGCTTCCTTTGTGTCTGGAGGTTTCCACCAATTGCTTCATATCTCTATCTGAATTCACCACCATCATTACCTCCAAGGAGCATTTAGTTTTCTTCCTTAAACATCAAATATCCTTGGGAAAGGGTCTGGGGGCACTTTCTGGGGTGCAGAGGAAGCCAGGGCATTCTAGTGCAAGCAACAGTCTGGGGTGGGTCATGGCCAGGTCTTCATGAAGCCCAGCAGAGGCAAAGTGGGAGCTGAGTGGGAGTTGGGGGCAGGATCCAGGTGTTTTGCTCCCATGAGGCCCGGGGCCCAGGAAAGACTTCATGCCAGAGTATGGAGAACAGACTGGACCCCCCAGGGAGCCCGGCCTGCTGACTGTCATCATGGTCGAAGTGAAAGAGACCGGAGCTTGGGCGACAGCAAGCTGTAGCACCCACAGGCCCAAGATGATGCCCCTCAAGTGCAGGCATGATTGTCTTAGAGCAGAAAATGAAAGTCCCCACTTCTGGTTCACTGGTGGGACCCCACATCCAGACTCACAGGATGAAACTCACACAGAAGCACCGTCTATTGTGACTGCGCAGCACAAAGGCGACTATGAGCTCCTCACCTCTTTCCATGAACTATTCCATGCTTTGCCAATCCTCAAAAATACTGAGTCCTTACACTGAGAGCCTTTTCTCTGTGCATGAATGAAAAAGCTTCTTTGAGGACTGACTGGGTACACTCAGGTGGCTGTCACTCACCGGGCAGCCAGATCCCCATCTGGAGACACACAGCACGTGGGTTGGTCACATGCAAGCCCCTCAGAACTCTTCCAACAGTAAAGCCCGAGGCTCACTCTTCTCCACCCTGGTCCTTTGGGAGTAAGTGGCTCTCAGGAGAAGCCAGGATGGGACCAGAACCCACGAGACCTGAAGTTATCAAGGCAAGTCAGCCCCAGTACAGAGCTGTGGGAACAGAAGAGGGGAGGAGGGAAGGTGTGTCCATGGAGGGGTGTGGCTATTCCTGTGGGCAGAGCCAGGAGAGAGCATGCTCTGTCTTTGACACTTGGTGGCTGTGTGGCATTGGATAGGTGACTAAACCTCTCTGGGCAGTATCTCCTACTCTCACCTACTAAAACACCAACATGTTAGGAATGACCAGAAGTTTGAGATAACATTACAGGAAGATTAAGATTCTTAATCTGGGAGAGAAATACCTTCTCCCAGCTTAAGGGGACACGTGAAGTCAGAGAGAGAAGGAAAAGAGTCTTCTTTTCTCAGGCCCCCTGGTGGCACAACAGGTTAGGATGCAGCACTGCAAGCTGGCTGCAGCACCCTTCCCCTGTTCCTGCCCAGCTCCAGGCAACTCATTCCATTTTGGAACGGATGGGAAATAAAATTGGCCACACCGGCCACCACACAAATTTATCTTATATGGACCCTTGCTGTCTCAGAGTCCCAGATTATTAAGGCTGGGGAGAGTTTGAGAGATAATTTCCCTCAACTTCCCAGTAGTTCCCAGGCCCTGGGGCATTCACCATCTCAAGGGCAAACGGAAGAGGGAGCCCCCCTGCACGCTCCTTCCCCCACCCCTGCACGTGTTCAAACACACAGCAGAGTTAAAAGGATTTTATAGTGAACACTATGTACCCACCACCTAATTCTACTGTCAGTATTTTTTCTACTTGTTTATCATATGTCACCATCTCTCCAGCCTTTTCTTCTTTTTATTTTTGATGCATTTCAAAGTAAATTGTAAACACCAGTACATTTCCCCTTACGTGTTTCAGCATGCATATTAACTGAAACTCATTATTTGTTTACAAGCATTTTCTTTTGGTGTGAATTGTACACACAATGAATGCATACATGCACAAATCTTAAATGATCTATCGCTGTGATTCGGCAAATGTGTAGGCCTGTGTAATCACCTCTATTGGGATTAAGACATAATCATCATCCCAGAGAAAGTTCTTCTCATTCTGGAGAAGGAAACTTTTGGTCAACTGCGCACCTACTTATCTGAGAATCTAATTGGGCCTCATGTGTGCATGCACACACACAGAGACCCTAAAGACATGGACTCCAAGATTAGCAATGACACCCCAAACCCCATTGCTGTGAGAGGACCCTAACCCACAAGTCAAAGGTTCTTCCAAAGCTAGTAAATAGAGCAAAGCTAGAGAAATGCACGTTCTTTTCCAGACTCAGAAAGCAAGCAGAGACAGGAAATTTAGGAAAAGCGGTGGTTTCCCCCAAACAGCACTGTCTTCCAAATTTAGCAGAGCTGGCTGTAAAAATCAATGAGGTGACTAGAAAGGACTGATTAAAATGAAAAGTTTAAAGGAGATTAAGTGCATGAGAAAGTACATTTTCTCATGCACTTTATCCAGCTGA